TGGATGTGCGTCTCCCTTGGACCAACGTCCCCCGGGACGCTCTCCTCGTTTCCACCGTGGTCAAAGTTGCTCCCTGCCGCTGTAGCCGCCGTCGGACGGCGGGGAGAGATCGCTTAGGAGGCGGTCGTCTCGCGGGCGAAGATCACGGCTGCACGTTTTCACGCCCGCGCTTTCCGCAACTTAGGGATGCTCGAGATACTCCGATACCGTGTACTGGAGATACCGCCGGCCTATAACAGATATAGAGAATTTTTCGTATCAATACTTAGTTTTTAGACGAATGTTATCTGAACGTAATTGCCAAGTCGGCGAATCGAAGCTTAATCGTATAACGCCGCTTATCACGTGGGTTTTTTTATTAGATTTACAGCAGAAAAGTAAAACACGCCAACAAATAATACGTACGTAAATGAGCGCAATTTTTTATAGAGTGTCATTTTGCTTGAGCGGACAACCTTTTGTATGTTTGATATACATATGCAGCTTAAATGCATCTAACTACATGCAAGGGATGCTTGGGACACTCCGATCGATAGTCTATTATTGATACCAAGTAATTTGACATTGTTTGTCATGATATGCTTTCAATTTAATTGGACATCTAATTTATCTTTGATCGATATCGCGTAATCGAGTATAAAATGTTATTCGAAATCATATTATACAGTTATTTTAATATTAAAATTAGAGCGTTTTTAACTAGGTTTCTGGAATATGGTAGTGATACCTCGACTTTTTATTAATTTCAGCGAGCTTTAATTTACTGCTGTAACTTAGTTGCCGAAACAGATAGTATAAAAAATTTAATCATTCCATAAATGATGGGTTTATTAACTGAATTTTCGAGCAGATTAAGTATTTCAAAATTCGGTAGAAAAGATCGCATGCGTATATGTGTAAATGGTCTCATGGCAAATCCTGTAAAACGTGTTATCATGTTATTTTTCGACACATGCGCGAATCCACGTTTCGCGCAAGATGCAACCGGAATAAAGAAAAAGCGCTTTTTAATCACCGGTCCGTTGTTAAGGGATGTCACTGAAAAGAGCATGGAAAAATAAAACAGCGTCGCCGTGAAGTCGTAACTTCGAACACGGCCCTTTCTGTCTCGCGGCTCTTTGCCCCAGCAATGCTCGGCCACGGACGCGAGGGAGATGGTCTTTTTTAAACGGCTGAAGCGTCACCAAGCAGTCGTCACTCCGCCGCCGTTATTCGCGCTGGGTCCCATTCTGCGTTGCATCCATTTTGCGGCTATCCGACAAACGAGATGCATCTGTTAGCATGTGCGCGAAATCTCATGGTGTTCTCGATATAGATTTAGGCCGAATACGCGCGCGCGGCGCCTCCGCAGATCGACGTTGCCCTACGATCGACGCGACGATTATCTTGACACGTTCATTTGAACATTTGCATGCAATTACAATTAAACAGATTATTAAGGAATTTTATCAAGTTTACACTTGATTACACTGTGGTTGCAAATTATTCCGTGCAATAAATACTATCATTTTTAGATATAATACAGAAGATATATTGCTTCCTCGCAGAGGAAGCTTCGTTTTCTTGAAGAAAATTGTATTCGAGTTTTCACTGCCAATGTGTTCTATAGAATGTTTCGAAACGTATGAAAAACGCATTTTAAAGAAATTATCTGCGTGTCTACGTACTGTTCGTGCTCTAACTTCCCCAACTCTTGAGATGTCGGAATAAACCTTTAAATATCAATAGAGTACCATGAAAATGTGGTTGGTATTGAATTGGGCGAGAATCTGTGGAAAGGTTCAGTTTATATACACATATATGCATAGAAAAATGTCGTTTTCTTTAAACTTCGAAGATCTGCAAGATAGAAAGAAATGTTAACGACGAACGTTGTAAGGTTTTAAGTGACCCATTAGATTGCAATTACCGAAATTCATTTTTATCCAATGTGAATGATTAATATTTAGTCATGAAACCTAAACCTTCCAGAAGGTATTACTAGAGTGTTGCCGCTGGAAATTTTGTAGGCCACAATTTTCTAAAAGATACACAAAATAGAGATAAATTTTTGTCGCGACATCTAGAAATTCATCTGCGTTAGTAAGATTTTATTTTTAGTGTAGCATTGTCCAAGATATGAAGACCACTGTATGGTCCGTTTTACATCTCTGTTATATCTGTGTGTAAAAATACAACATAAGTGTAAATCCGATTGTGGACTGTCATGTGATACGCCATTTGTAGTCCTACGTCTTTTATCTTTGACATATTTTCTATACTGACCATGTGCATCTTGGATCATGCCGGCGGTATACTTTAACTTTCAAGCAACATAACTCCGAAAGTACTTGACAAAAATGTTGCAACTTTATCGCAGCGTTTTGGAAAGCTTTTGAGTTAAGTTACAAGAACATGAAATGAAAAGGGAGAGTTGCATGGAAAAATTTCAAAGCGATCTTTACGTGACCTTGATGAAGCTGTTCACATCAAGATCACAGCTTCCTCGGCGAGGAAGCCGAAAACCTGTACGCGCATAGGAGAAAAATTAGAAACTTGCATATGGCTTCCTCATTGAGAAGGCTTTGTACATGAATTAAAATTCTGAAGAAGCAATTTACGATTTGTACCTTAACTCACAAAGCTTCCTCTATGAGGAAGCCAAAATTGAAAATAACAACTTGCCCAGATGACGAAGTAATGTGCAAATTTCCAATTTTGTAGGTATATTGCAAGTACATAAAAAAGCTGTTACATAATATATTATAAATTTATGAAAATTCCTAAATCCTCGCAATTTCAACGTGTAATTGTATTATATTTTTAAATTGTTCATTTGACAATAATACGACTCAACATTTCACCCTCTATAATATCTTCTAATTAAAGTAATCTGCAAAATGTAAGTTAATGTTAATAATTATCTTTTGCGTAGAGAAGTGCCTCTCGGTATTTGTGTGAGACAGTATCGCGATATTGTGCTAGGATTGCGTCAAAAGTAAAAGAATGCCGGCCGCGATCGAACAACAAATCTTCGAACTCTCGCCGACAAGGATTAATCCTTCCGATCGCGAGATTAAGATACACGGACGGCACATGAATCGTGTAAACAGGCACGTGGAAGAGAATCGCGAAAGGGTGCGACGTGAACGCAGAGGCTATCATCGCAAGGTTATCGATAATACCAAAATAAATCTCAGGAGAAACGTAACAAACCCCGTTGACCCGTTGATTTACGATGCGACAGCCGTATGGTCCACGACCGCACGTGCCTCTCGCAAAGTGTCGAAGACGACCGCTCCTTTTTTTCGTATTCCACGATTTCGCTTTCCGTTTATTTGTCGAATAACGCAAAAAAAAACCGCTATCGTAACGGTTGTCACGATAACAGAATTATATGGTAATAGGGATACCAGGCATATGCGTAATCTTTAAGAGAAAGTATAATGTGTTCGTCATCTTGTGAATTAATCCTTCGCACAGATGTGCTATCTCCGTTTCGACGATACACACGTCTCGCGAACGGAGTGTTATCTTTTATTTAAAAATAACTTTCTTCTCACAAGTTTTGGAAAATATATTTCACCGTAATTTCTCGAATTTCTACGTTAAATGTCTTAAAAATTAAGATTTCAAATTTCATGTAAAACACAAGATTTTGTTGTTTATTCCCTGCGCAGTCTACCAAATAAATTTCAAATAGTTTTAATTGGGAATAAAAATCTGTTTACGATTTCATGTGCTCGGTAATGATTTAAAGAATCAGAGTATATATATGTATATCAATAAAATATGTTAGATTATACATACACTGATACGTACTAAAATTGCATATATAAAATTATAAACAATGTTTAATCCTGAAGTCTAATACAAATTATAGATTGTCTAAAATATTCATTTGTCCATGTATTCGTGTAACAAAAATTATTTTAAACATGTCCATGTATATTAGGTATATCTTACAACATTCTATATGCAAAAATATCAAGATACTAACTTATTTAATAAAGCGTTTCAACGAAATGGAAAATTATCAATTGAAAAAGACTTGCAGTATCTCGTGAAAAATTGTTCACGGTATTATTCATGACGAAATTGTCTAGTTGAATTATATTTAGAACAGCATAGGAAAATTAATTAGCTGTTATTTCGAATCAATGAAGCGAGCAAAGCAAATTTATTATCTTAATTATGAATGACAGCCTTCGCGCGAACTAATACAGAACAGATAGATTGAAATTGAGTTTACGGCAACAAGAAGCAGTTCGAATAAACGTATCAATCGAAATCGTTTTGCCGCTCAAATTATGTCATTGGCTCGAGGAAACTATTTATGGGGTCAATTTGGTTACTTGTTGAGTGAAAGCTCGGGAACGTTAAAGATGCCGTCCACCGAGCGTCATGCGCTCGTTTACTTTTATTGAAATAATTTCACGAAATTGTTTAGCGAATATCCAGAGCATATTCATAATGCGATTTTCAAGTAGAGACAACTAATAACTGTGATAGATTACAATTTTGCTTACATGATTCTCGAGAAGAAATCGTTTGCTTAACTTTCCAGCCGTTTGCTTCCTAATTGCATTCTATGAATGTTTGCTTAGAAGCATGTTTCCATATTTTAACGTAAAATCTAAATTTCTTGAATCTAAATTAAGGATATAAATAATTGAAATTTGAGAAAATTATATCACGTACACGGAAAATATTTCACCACAAAATCAAGTAACACGATTGAAAAGAACACACGATGTTCAGAACACCATGTTTATCATCCTTTTCAATTACAAATATTATTTTATTATCACACGTGTTGCCGATACATGTGGTTACGTTATATCATCGTCAATTAAACATAGCAAAGTATAACAAAATATACGTATCCACATTTTCACTTACGATCAGAAATCATCTCGACTAAGCAAAATAATTACAGCCGGGTCTGCAGGCCAGAATAATATAATTAACGTAGCAACCGTAAGCGATAAGAATCACGTGTAATAAAAAGCCAGTCCAAATATTTCTCATTGTTTATGTAAGTACAATCATCTGATTCTAGAACTACACACTTCTTACATTTTTAGCTACATCTTCGATGCACAATCGATATTATCGTCAAGATTTTTTACTAACGTTAAACAGATTGAGCATAACAATCCGCATCTTTATACAACTTCTACCTGCAAAATACGGGAGCGTGGAATAACAACATACAGTCGGAGTTGGTTAAAACCTCATATGCAGTTTACAAATCTCTCCCGAAAGTGTGCAGGAATAGATTATTACATTTTATCTCAAAATTAAAATCTCTTTTGTGCTGAAAAAAATTATTTGCTAGCATCAGAACAATAATTTGATAAGTATATGCATATCATTCGTTCAGAGTATTGAATTTTGCGTGGCACGTAACCAATACGTTAAAGTTTCATCCACCCTTCATTTTTCTGAAAAGAAATAATTGTTTATCGCGGCTCTCTGTATTATTTTCTCTTTTTAAACGGCCGTAGAAAGACTATTTAAAGAATATACGTACTTGGGAAAATATTGATATAACATTTAATCCCTTTAAATCGTTTTATTCTATGAAATTAAAAATAATTATCAAAATTGAAAATTAAATGGCAAATTGAAACCATATACAAAAATGTCTAAAGTGTTACTTGGAAAGGCTCTTCAGACTCTGCATTTTGTAAAACATTGCCATTTACCGGTGTATTGCGAAGAAGCTTCGCTTTTTCTTTCTGCGATGATTCAAACGGTGAAATTGTCTAGTCAAGTCACGAATTGAGTTGTGTTCATTAATTTAATCATATTAATGAGCAAAAAAAGGTGGCTCGCAAGTTCTTTGATGCTCTTTCTTATAATCGATACTTAGGCTGCAACGAAGAGTACAAAAGCTCAGAATGCATAAGTTTAGTATTACATGATCGCATACGATAATCACTCATAGTTACAATAGTCCATGTATGCAAAACAATATAAACCTTGCAAGTTCTTCTCGCATAACAATCTGTAGGGAAATCAGTTTCATCGTTAGTCGGAATATAAACACCTTCCTTAAATGCGCAATTCCTTATTACTGCATCGGAGCTAAATAATAGATCAGCGTGTACGGCCATGTGTGTAATACTATTTTATTCATGCAATAAACATATAACCAGTCCTATCCATCCCTATCACAAAACTGAATCATAGTAGGAAACAAAATCTCACTTAAGGTAAATGTATCACAAATATTGTGTCTGATGACCAGATTAACGTTACAAGAGAAAGAGAGTGATAAAGATGAGCGTGACTAGTATATTATTACATTATCGTCATTACAAAAGTATTAAACTTATGAAATCTACTACACGCAGTTCGATTAGTTCTTAAACTTGACTGCAAAAACCTGTTAAACTAACGATTCTATAATTATCGCAATATCAATTCATCGGCATATATGCAAGAGAGAGATTACGACAAATAATATTTGAAAAGATTCAATTATTCTACTTGAGTTATTCTACAGAATATTTTATAGTCTTAACGAAAGTTTTAAATGGCCGAAACCGATATTTGTAAATCTTCAGCTTTTCAACATGGTACAAATGCGTTCGCGTACCGTCCTTGTGCAGAAATGCGATAATTTATTACGAGATTAATATATATTTTGCCATAACCGATATTTGTATAACAAATACATGATATTGGATTTCACATTCACTCGCGTATGCGATTTTTGTAATAATGAATTTAACACGAATATTAACAGATTAATTATATGAATAAGTATGTATGCTCTTTTTTTTATGAGGTATATATAACAATTTTTAAAAACACGATGTAAAATATATCACATGAACGGCGTTATAACAAATAGCTAATGATGATCTTCGCAATTCATCGATATAAAGCGATAATATATAGTATTAATGCAATGTACAACTCGATTAACTTCCATTGTAAAAGTAGAGATGAAAATCATAAATAAATATTATGTACAGCTAAAATATGATATATACTCGTACGTAATAATATCGAAACATTATCATATTTATCTTCGAATATCAATGAGAACGTAATACAGTGTAATCAGTTATATTAATATTAATCTTATTTCTGAAATAAAAATATAATCCGTTAAAAAAGTATTATCCATTAAGAATAAACAAGTATTATTATAATAATTAAGCTTTTGTGCTTCTCACTTGTACAGTCACTGATGTATTAATAATACAAATAGCATTTAAACCTTTATATGTGGAAGTATACTTAACGTTTAATTAAATTTTTAAAACAGCATATGCTTAGGATAAGGAATATAAACGTCTTCGATCCTTCTTTAAAAAAAAGTCACTCGTAAAGAGAGATGCTAAGTGATCAAGTGTTGGATAATAAAATTCAGTTGAACACAAAGTCAGCACATGATCAGACTGTAAATTTGTTGACCTATTAAAAAAGTACATGGTATATTCATTCTTATAATACTGTAAACGTGATCTTAGTGTTACGCAGACCGTCTCGCATTGATAATTCCAAGCTGTGTGCTGCAAGTTTTAATATATATATGAGAAGGTATTAATTATAATTATTTTTCATTGAATCTTTCACAGTCCTTAAACGCAATCTTATCGATAAACTTATTCTCTGGAATGCTGCGTTCGTAATACTTTTGTTTCGACTTTAATGTATACCGCAAGTCAATTTCATTTAATCGTCATTTACTTTTATTACAATGCATCTGTTCAGTTGATAAGCACGATAATAATATAATTGGTATACGATTTTATTGTGCTAAATAATGGCAGATTAAGCTGAAATAAGTCTCAATGTAGCATAATTATTAATAAAACTCATCCTCTGGTAGAAAAGAATGAAAAGACTTTTCTATAGAAATTATCCTCGAAAATTTTGACGGGTCAAATGATATTATTAGTTAACATTTTATTCCGTCGTACAAAACAATTGCTTCTCCTTTGATGAATCACAGAAACTAGATAAGAGAAAAACAAGTTTTGTAAAGTTCTCATAAACATTGTATTATTGATGCAGTTAATAAAGCGTATCGAGTTCTTCTTTTTCGTTGTTAATACAAGATGTGACAAATTAAAACAGCACTGAAATGAAAGAGAATGCAGAAACATGGTTAACCCAATAAGAAGGATGAAGTTTCATCTATAAATCCGTAGGTCTCTTTACAAATTACAAAAAAAAAGCTCTTTACGTCTTATACGTGTACAACTGTATGTAATGAGATTTCTCAATAGTTGTCCAATGAAGAAACATAGGAAAGGAACCTTGCTCATTTCATTCAATTCATAGCCATTAGCACAGTATAAATTAAAAGTCTAACAAAACTTTTAAACCTTTTCTAAAGTTTCGATCGCCTCGCCATTAGCCATTCTATTACTAGTTTTGTGTCGATGATTGTACATAGTTTGCAGAGGTACATGAAGTAACTCCACAATCTGTATAAAGTTAGGCTCTGCAACAGAAGCAAACGAACGTATTAGCGTCGCGTGGCACCTTCCTCGAATATTTTTCGAGCGGTCCGAGTGATATCTTACCGTTCTCCGCTGTAATGTATCCGTGTCTAATTAAGAAGTCAAGGGCAACTGGTACAGAAGTGGTTTTGAAATGTGGGGAAAGTATCCTCTCTAAGCATTCACTAACGGGGAGTAATTCGAAGGTCTCCACTTCTCCGTCACTATTGTTTGGTACAAAGTCGGGCGGCAGTTCAAGATCATATACAAATTCCGTATTGGGAAACAGACCCCTCTCACTTTCGAAGAAGAACGACACGCAGCCGGCGCTCTTGAGCTTGGCGATAAGATGATTGGGAATACCAGCTTCCTCGCCGGCTTCTTTTATCGCGGTTTCGTTTATGCCGTAGCCAACACTCAATCCACCGCTCACCATACTGTCCCAGTATGCCGGCCATGTCTGCTTGTTCGGACTACGCTTTTGTAACCATATTGACAAGCCCTTGACAGGGTCCATCACGTAGCCGTTTATATCCACTCCGTATTTCCGAATTCCAAATAAACCTGCCGTGACAAAAGGCACGTGTAACGTACCGCCATTCATTTCGACACTTACCTCTCGCATTATCCAAAATACGTACATGTGGCCGAGCGATCCATCTTGAACAACGGTAGCGTATTGAATTGTGCACGCACCTCGTAACATTCCTCCCTCCAGCCCCGCAATGTCACAAACTTACCGCCGGCCATCCATTCCCTCAACACTTCGTCGACGCGTGCACTTCTCTCAGTGTAATCCCGAAAGGCTGGATTTAGTTGCACGTACTCGGGATGTACTTGAAATACCTTGAAAATTTACGTTATTTTTAATCGTGACGTCTAATGGCTCCTGCCCACTGGACGCGGTAACGTTGCCGCAGGAGCCATAAGCGTTAACGAAAGGCAGCCGAGCTCAACTCACTTGAGGATGATTTAATATCTCTTTCATCACATCCGGACGCACAAGTCCGACTTGTTGCCCATCGACCACAAAAGCCCTGCATTCTCCTGCGTGCAAGCCTAAGGAACAAACGCATTCTTTCGTAACCGCGCAGAAATATTACAATTTCCTCTCTGTATGCATCGCCGAGAGTGAATATTTGCGACAAAGATATTTTTTTTTGCGCCGTTGTAGGAAGGTCACGTTTGGAAAGCGAAATCGACGCGCGCGTCAGACGCGACGCGAATTTACATATTTCATTATCCGAGGCTGCGAACGTAAACTCGGCCGGGACGGCCACATCACTCGCGATGGAATTACGCGTCGGAAGTAAACGGCGTGGCGAGACTCCCCCGCCGGAACAAGCGTGCTCCGAACGAGCGTCAGGCGTATCCGTTCGGCGCAAAAAAGTAGGCGACTTCGCGAGCGGTTACCGATTATCGCGTCGATAATCTCGCGACGCGCCTCGGGATCCTCGCGCTATTCCTTTTTTCCCTCTCTCGCCACTCCGCCCCGTTGTTTTCCGCCGAAACGCGAACGCGAGGGTAAATACGTACGCGACGCGAGATCGATACTCTCTCTCGGCGGGTCCGCGCGAACGTCGGGCCGTCCTCGCGCGCCTATCGACGACGCGGGCGGGAGACGCGCCGCCGGGGACGATACGTGGCGGCGCGGGCGCGACCCGTTCGCTTACCTGACAGGTAGAAGCAGTTGAACTTGTTGGCGAGTTTCATTAAACGTGACATCGGCTTCTTGTCGTTGTCCGCCATGATGTTACGTCGTTGTCATCCGGCCAGCTGCGACGACAATCCTGGGCATCGAGCACATAACGAGTGTCAGACGGGCGCCCGGGCGGCCTAGGCTCGCTCGCCGCCGCGCCGCTGCGCGGCGTCGCGCATGCGCGACGGCCGCCGCGCGATTGGCCGGCGCGCCGGCCAATCGGCGGCCGCCGCTCCGCGTCGCCCGCGAACGCCGCCGCCGTCGCCGCTCAAGGTGCTATTACATGGAAGCATCGTGCGTCGTGCGCACAGACAGATTTCAGCGGCT